TACAAAAAATATACATTTTATATCATACAAATAATATATCATTTTTCTTTATTAATTCTCATTTATTCATTAATGCTGTGTTTTCAGAAATATAAGGTACTTTTGTATCATATACCATGCAATTCCCCAACTACACCATTAGCTTTAGCATTAGCATATGAAATGTTGTTTTTTTTTTATGATACAATGCATTTATGCTCTAGCACTAGGCCTTCATTTCTGTGTAAAAATTTTCAGATTTATGGCGGATTTCTCATTTCAATGTGGGGTCATATTGACCCCAAAGACCAGAAGTGTAAACACATTCCACATTTTTTACATACCTTCAGAACAACCGAATCAAGCCCAGTTTTGTGTGTGTGTATAGATAGATAATGTATGAAAAGTCACAAAATCTTATTCTACTGAGATGAAGGGAACTTTTTTTTTCAGCAAAAGTCGATTGGGGTCGTATAGACCCCCGATTGAGGGCCACAGTGTTTTTCATTCTTTTGTAGCCTGACAACAGTGTCACTATGAACTGTTGAATGACAGCCCATTCTCACCCCCAAGGCGTCACTTAACTGACGCCTTGGGAAGCATTTGGACATGCTTCAATATCTGACGCTTTAGGCGCCCTTTAGCGTCAGTAAAAGCGTCAGTGTACCCTACCCCCACCCCACACCTAAACCTAACCGCGTCCTCTAACAGACGCTTTCCTTTAGCGTCAGTTAGATGACGCCGTAGGATCGCGTCATGTAAGTGACGCTAAAGGGCGCCTAAAAGGTCAAATATTGAAGCATGGTCAAAGGTGACACCTTGGGGTGAGAATGCGTTGTGAACGAATAGGGCTGTTTAATGATTTCCAGTTCCATTAGTAAAAAATGGACTGGATTTAATCATTTGAACTAGTCCTTTGATCCATCTCTACCAAATGAGTTTCACGACACTTTGCAATGTCAGGTTGACCTTGACAAAAATCTTTATCAATTGGACAAGCATTAAAAGCTGGAGAAAAATGTGCAGAAGCAAGTGTTTCAATCAATATCCAATTGTTTTGCTCACATTGATGGTTGTGACATACTACCTGTCATTTTCTTTTTGCTTTGGTGGGCAGCCATTTCAGCCAAGTCAAGTAGTTCAATCCAGAGTGTTTATTGATTAAAGCTGGAAGAAATCAGTTTATATGGAAACATATGGCATTTGGTCATTTTCATGCAACTTCTGGGATTTTACTCATATTTAGTTTGTTTGGTAATTCTGCTTAAACCAGGTTGGTATAAAACATTTTGTGATATTGATTGCAGACAAACACAGTCCAAATGAGAATTGAACGGAATTTCATTCCAACGTTACAAGCAGATATGATTTACCTCTCGGTAGACAGAGATGCAGCAGGAATCACATCCTCTTCAAAAGGGCAGGTGCGATACCAGTCCCATCACTGTTATTTTCAGAGCTAAATTACATCTGATACATCTGTCCTGTGGCAATAAAAATCCCTGAAATAAGCTGAAAACAAATTCACAATCTTAAAATTGCTGCATATGGAGAGAAAAAAAGACAATATTGTAAATTGTATGCCTTCATGAGTTATGTATTATGTCACTCATGCAAACTACATCAACTGACCAATAATAATTGACCTGATTATCATGGTTGGACAAAACTTGGGATTTGAATCAGAATGACAGGAATTTGCTACATTGTATTTAAAAGAAATTCAGCACAATCACATAATAGAAGAGTTTAATTAGTCAAACACAGTTTTTGAGTTTCTTATTAAAGGACTATTTTGTGAGATTTCCTGTTTCAAGTCTCTGGATTCTAAGACTTGTGACAATATGTGACCTGGGGTCCATTCTTTGTACATTGCTTAATATATCTGAGATGATTTGACAGATGGCAGATCTTCTAATCGTGATTACTGATCTATACATGATTTGGTTCTCCAACGAATTTAATTAAAATATCTGGAATAAGTTGTCTGAGGTTACTGTACATTCTAGTGTTCAGTGGAAAAGGCAGATGTTGTGACACTCAAAATCAGCAATTGTCTAGTGGCAAGACAGAAACGTATTGACATCCTGCTAAAAACGAAGAACTGAATAAACCACAGTATTAAATATACAGGAAGTAATGAGGTAACTCAATGAGCAGCAGCTAAAGGTGAGCGGTAATAATATAAACAAACAAGAATCCAGAACAGGAAAGGAAGGAAAACAGGCAGAGGGAGAACAAAACTAAACAGAACCAGACAGGACAGACAGGATAAACATATGGAGGGAGACAGGGTATTTCAGTGTCGAAGTCTATTAAATCCACTTCCTCTGGACGAGAACGAGGACAGGAGACTTGGGCGTGGCGGCAGCCATCTTGGCAGAGGGCTCTCGAGAGGCTGCGGCCATCTTAGGACGAGACTCTGGAACAGCAGCCTTTTTCGGACAAGACTCGGGAACAGCAGCAATCTTTGGACGAAACTCTGGAATGGCGGCCAAGACGGGAAGAGACTTTGAAAGAACCGAACCGGGACCCAATGCTCTCCAGACACCGAAATAAGGTTTCCCTCCAATCCAGCCCTGTGGTGTCTGGGAGGTCAATGTATTGGTGGAAAATTGCCCCAATCTGGAACAAGGTCCTTGGGGTGTCATTTTCAAGGGAGCTGGTAACATAACAGAGATCAGACAAAGACTGAAAGAAATAGTGCATCTTATATAGCAAAACAGAAACGAGATAATTAATCACACATAGCTGGGACAAATTAAATCAATGACTTTAACCATAGAAACAAAGGAGTAACAAAAGAACAAAGGAAACCAGGAACCAATTAAAACACAAACTGAAAGTCCAAACATGCACTGACATGTGACAATTATCAGGCGATAATTCCATTTCCATACAACTACGTAAAACTGATCACGAGGAACAAAGCGGGGACGTGGGAAGTGTGTCACCCATTTTCCTTTTGCTATCAAGAAAACAAATCAAGTTTCATACAGGAAGTAATGCCTGGGTTGAGTGAGTTTACAGATCCCATCATACGAACCATGTCACCCATTTGATATTTCAAGCAGCACAGCACCAGAATATGGATTCACTTCACCGCTTCTGTGATTTCCTCTGTGGCGGCACCCTGCTCCTCTCCCAGAATTCACTGCACTCGGTTTAGCTTTCCTCCCTCTCGCAGTTTCTTGTCCTTCATGTTCAATTTGCTTTGGCCTGCTAATGAAGTCAAGCTTGCTCCCAGGCAACTGTGCTGCTCAAACGACTCCTGCCAAGCTGTTTGGAATTCTGAAGACTTGCAAACACTTCAAGCAATTATAAATTGAAGACTTAATGGTAACACTTTAGAATACTGTATCTTACTTAATGCATAATTAATACGGAATTAATGAAGAACTAATAGGTAATTATTTATGAACACTTTAGTCACTACTATTAACTACTAATGAAGATGTGTTAACTAATCAGTAAGTAATATCATTTTTTTTATTGCGTTAAGTAACAATTAACTAATCAATAACTACTGAATTTAGCCATACCTCCTGAAGAACTACTATTAAGTATCTACTAATTAAGGTTCAACAAAAATAACTATTAAGTAACTACTAATGCAGTCACACAATTAGCCATTACAATAATCAGGTTGGTCGTTTTCTTTACTACCAATGCTATTATTATTATTATTATTATGTATGTATCATTATTAATACTACTATAGAAATGCAATATGGATTTAGTGGAATTACTGCACTCCCAAAAATAGTCATTTAAGCAACATTTTTTTTTTCCTATATGGTCTATTGCTTTGTGAGTGAGGTCTTTAAGAAATAAACTTAGGAATGGAACCCCATCCCAACTCTAAGTGCCTTGCCATAACTAGTCAACTTACCTCATAGGATTATGAATTTATATACAGTACAGTATGTGTGTCCGTATTGGGTAAATTATTTAAAATTAGGCAATGACTGAGGAGAAGTTAAAATACAGGAAACCCATTTAAAAAAAGAATTACTGCATAATTCTAAAGGAATTACTTAGAAATTACTGAAGGAAAGTGAAAATATAGGAAACCCAATAATAATTAATACATAATTACTACATAACTCAGAGGGAATTATCTAGAACCTGGAACAGTATTCTAAAGTGAAAATATAGGGAACCCATTGGTAATTAATACATAATTACTACATAACTCTGAGGGAATTATCTAGAACCTGGAACAGTATTCTAAAGTGAAAATATATGGAACCCATTAGTAATTAATACATAATTACTACATAACTCTGAGGGAATTATCTAGAACCTGGAACAGTATTCTAAAGTGAAAATATAGGGAACCCATTGGTAATTAATACATAATTACTACATAACTCTGAGGGAATTATCTAGAACCTGGAACAGTATTCTAAAGTGAAAATATAGGGAACCCATTGGTAATTAATACATAATTACTACATAACTCTGAGGGAATTATCTAGAACCTGGAACAGTATTCTAAAGTGAAAATATATGGAACCCATTAGTAATTAATACATAATTACTACATAACTCTGAGGGAATTATCTAGAACCTGGAACAGTATTCTAAAGTGAAAATATAGGGAACCCATTGGTAATTAATACATAATTACTACATAACTCTGAGGGAATTATCTAGAACCTGGAACAGTATTCTAAAGTGAAAATATAGGGAACCCATTGGTAATTAATACATAATTACTACATAACTCTGAGGGAATTATCTAGAACCTGGAACAGTATTCTAAAGTGAAAATATAGGGGCTAATGAATGATTACCAGGTGCTGAACTGTAATTCCACATTACAAGATGACAAATTGTTAGAACATTGAAATTTATTGCAAAAAAGTGTCAAACATGTTTTCAAAAAAAAAAATAAAAAATAAAAAAATCCCACAACAAAACAGCAGGTAATCACTGCCATAAAGAATTGTTTAAATTCCAATACTTTTACACGAAATTACAAAAAAACAAAAAAAAAACTAAAACTAAACAAATAAAATGTCAACAAATAAAATAAATGTGTATGCACTCCCAAGGCCTGAACTTCAACCGTGCCAATGTTTCTCTAACACACTTTTGAACAATAGTTACTTTTGTTTTTGGCAAAGGTCAATGAGCAAGCCATTTTTCTTTTTTTGCTCAATGACACTTTGAAGTGGCTCCTTCATGCACATTTCTTTGCATTGTTCGGCAAACTGTGACAGTTTTTGGCCTCTGTGGAATGTTTCACGCAAGGTCTTGTAGGTTTCACCGTCACAAGCCTCTAGCTCAGCTATCGCTGCAGTATCCACTATTGTTTTGCGGTCAACCCCACACTTATGGTATGCCTGCGTTTTGGTGATTCCTTGTTGCAAGTACTGCAGGACCTTTTTATATCTTTCGATTGCATGCTCTGGTAGAAACACTGGGAGAGAACAAAGGTGCATGATTGATAAATAACTCAAATAAGACTATATTTCTCTCTCTCTCACACACACACACACACACACACACACACACACACATACACACATGCATATATATATATATATATATATATATATATATACACATATATATTTTTTTACTTTTTTAAAACAATAAATCATTTTCATGATATGATACGATGAAAGGCTCTCGATAGGATTCAAAACAATGTAATACAGTTATCAAAACAGTGTTCCAAATAGTGTGCTTGAACTTATTAACAAATCAAATCTGAAATTCAAGATATGTATTTTAAATATTTACACAATATTTAAATAATTACACAATACTGAATGCTATTTGAGAGCAGAAAGAACTCTTAATAATGTGGAAAATCCAAGGCACATTACATGTCACACAAAGGTTTGTCATTTTTTTCAATATCAATTTAAATATCAATATCATTCACATAGAGCACATAGGCACTGCCACAGATGTAACAACCCCCAGTGGGTTCTGATTCAATCATTATTGAGTCTATTTTTACATGAACAAAGCTAGTTACACCAAATATTCATTTAACTTTCTATGATGTTAATTGAGAAGTAAAGACTATGTATGACATTGTTTTTGATAATGCACTTACAGACAACATTTTACACTAGTATTTAAAGGACAACTCCGGCGCAAAATGAACCTTTGGTCTAATTACACATTGTTACGTAGTCAACCGTTATCTGAGATTTGTTTTCATGATTGCCGAATGTAAATAGTTTTATCTCTAAAAACAGTTTAGCCTATAACACTAGTATAGACCATTTCACAAGATGTAAACAACACTGGTCCAGAAACACTTCCTGTTTCAGTTTGTAACTGTTTTCTTTATTTCACATGTAAAGAAAACATCTTAAATATGTTTGTTTAACTTTTTGATTCAGTTTTAAATGTTCTGTTGGTTGTATTTTATCCCAGCTTTTATGTAGTGTTAAAAAACTGAAACAGGAAGTGCTTCTGGACCAGTGTTGTTTACATCTTGTGAAATGGTCTATAATGCTAGTATATAGGGCATGGAGTAATGACAAATAAAAATCGCTTGTTATTACCACTAACAAGGCTCAAAATAGCCCCACACTAACACGACAGCATAATAAGGGTCCCTACATTCAAACCGAAGCATTGAGAACTTTGTCAGTGTCCATACAGTTTAATAAGAAGATATTTTATACACAAAGTCAACTTCGCGAAAACAGGAAGAAGCCATCTTTGAAAAATAGTCTCTACCAGTCGATCTACGAACGGCGATCCAAGTGCACTGAACTGTGCAGAATATCATATGGTCCATTGTTTTCGGAAGAAACACAAACACAAACCGTTTTCTTCTCTTCAATATGTACACGTAGCCTACTGTTCGCGCTCACCTTATCACCTTATTCACATCTCACCGGCGCACATGGATCGGCGTTCGTAGATCGACTGGTAGAGACTATTTTTCAAAGATGGCTTCTTCCTGTATTCGCGAAGTTGACTGTGTGTATAAAATATCTTCTTATTAAACTGTTTAGACACTGACAAATTTCTCAATGCTTCGGTTTGAATGTAGGGACCCTTATTATGCTACCGTGTAAGTGTGGGGCTATTTTGAGCCTTGTTAGTGGTAATAACAAGCGATTTTTTATTTGTCATTACTCTATGCCCTCTATATACTCTATATACTAGCATTATACTAGCGTTATAGGCTAAACTGTTTTCAGAGATAAAACTATTTACATTCGGCAATCATGCAAAACAAATCTCGGATAACGGTTGACTAGGTAACAATGTGTAATTAGACCAAAGGTTCATTTTGCGCCGGAGTTGTCCTTTAAAACGTTTTCCCAGTACTTTGGGACACCATTATAAGTATAACCTTGATGATGGCATAGTTATTATGGCATTATGACAATAAGAACATACCTCTTCTGCTTTTTTGCATTTTTTTTCCAGCTTTCTTTGATTTTTTCTTATGTTTCCTTGATTTGTGGGGTGAAGACGAAACAGATGAATCAGAGGTGGAATAAGACACTGATTCACTGGAAGAGGATGAAGAGTCAACTTTCTTTGACTTTTTTTTCTTTTCCTTTCTTGCCCTTCTTTTCCCCTTTTTTTCATTCAGGTTGTCTACTTCATCAGAAGAGTCAGGGTTAACAATCATATTTCGCATTTTGGAGGAAGCTCCTTGCATCTCATCCTTTGTTGACAATGCTGACAAGAAATACAGAAAAAAAATGTCTCAGTTATGCATGTAACCTTAGTTCCCTGAAGAACCGCTGCATCATCGCTATTGGTTCCATATGTGCTTCACAAAGCAACCACGCAGAGGCATTCCCACAACGATGTAGCTGAACCATAAGTTTATCAGTGATAAGAATACATTTTGTGCACAAAAAACAACACAAATAATAACTATTTAACTATTCATTTTCTTCATTATTATTTTTTTATTTTTGCGCACAAAAAGTATTTTCTTCACTTGATAAACTTATGGTTGAGCTACTTTAGTCACTTAGGCCCCGTCCACACTACTGCGTTTTCGTTTAAAAACGGAGAATTAAAACGAATACGATCTCCGTCCACACCAGCGTTTTGTCTGCGTATTAGAATTGATCTCCGTCCACATTAAAACGACTGAAAACGCAGATCACGTGACCATTCACCAACACTGGGCATGCGCGCGCCGGTGTAAACAGTGTTTGGCGAATCAGGGAAGGACACGTCATGACTGATGACACCCAATCATAGAGCCGAGCGTGAGCTTCTGCGTCATCGTTTGTAAACTCCTCCGTTTTGTCTCGTCCACACTAAAACGCCCTCCGGAGATTCAAAACGCAAAACGCAGCTGCAGCGTTTCTAAACTTCTCCGTTTTAGGTCTTCGTTTTTCCCGTTTTAGTGTGGACGGGAGGTGCAAACGTAGCAAAAGGTCTCCGTTTTTAAACGAAAACGTAGTAGTGTGGACGGGGCCTTAGACTATTACAAACATTGTCTTTACTAATTGCCTGGGCCAAGTTTCATTACAATAGAAGCCTATGGAGGAGTGAGACAGCTCTCAGATTTCATCAAAAATATCGTAATTTGTGTTCTGAAGATGAATGAAGGTCTTAAGGGGTTGGATCAACATGAGGGACAGTAATTGCTAATTTTAATTCTTGGGTCAAGTTTAATGGCCAATTTGCATGGGATAAGAAATCTCAGTAAAACTATTCGCACAGGATTAAAACTATTCGTTGTTTTGTTTTGTTCATTTACTAACATGATAATATTACAAAATATATAGTTATAAATGTGTATTAAATGTTTTAAAAATAAAAATATGAAAAACCTATGTAGACTTGCGATGTTGTTATCTGTGGAGATGAAAAAGGGTCCAGTCTCAGTTAGCCATGATGATTCATTTAACTAGTTAATGAGTCTACCCTTTCCAGTCCTCATAATTTTAAACAAATTTGTATGCTCTTCAGTCGTTATTTTTTTTTTTTAATGTTTAAATGAGTGCATATTAAAAAAATGTACAGTACTTGCTTTTTATTAGACCGAGAGCATTTTACCATTTGTCAGACTGCTGCGCAGGAAATCCCTCTCGCTCTCTAATTCTGTACATTTGTCCTCAAGGACTTTGATTTTTGAGAGCAAAAATGTGTTCTCTTCCTTAATTTTCATTAAGGACACCTGCAGGGTTGGTGCAGGTGGTGTTGATGGTGTTGATGCTTCTGTTGAAACAAAACACAAACATTTTATTTATGTTAAGAGAACAGCCAAAGTTGATTGGATTTATTATTAGATTAAATATAACATGTCATGAAATCAAAATTTCATAAAAAATAAAATTCGCCTTGATGTTGTGACATAATAATTTGTAATTAAAAAGTTACAGAGCTCTAAGTGTTCCACTGCCCTAAAAAGAGCATTTATTGTTTTCACCCTGCGAAAACAAGTTTTAAAATGTAGAAATTGACAATCAAATGCATGTAATATAAGTAATAGTTCCCACAGTTTTCATTGAACTCATTAAACTGATAATCAAACAGAAAGTTGCTCTGTGCTGTAGCGGTTACCAGGGTAACCGGTCTATAGCGCCATTTGCTGTCAGGGAGTAAATGGGCTATATGCACGCATAAGTTCCGCATTTGACACAAGGATGCTCGTCCATTTCCGGTTGTGGAGATTTAAGCGGAGGAGAACCGAGGAAAACGGGATTATGGCAGAGTCTTCAAAATCTACTGTCCTCCCGTCTTTGAAGCGAAACGTACATACGTTTAGATGTAATTTTATATATAGTTATGTTTATTTAATATAATTTTAAAAAGAAGCAAACACAACGAGGGGTGTCTGTTTTATCTGTTTTTGTGACTAACGTTTCTTTATTATAACCATGGAGTATAAAATTCAATATAAATTCTCGGTATCGCATTGGACTCTACGATCGGCGGAAGTTATCGAGCATCCTTAATCCTTCACCGGAAATACCGCCGTGCATAGAGCCCATTGGCTTTATGCACAGCTTCACTACTTCCTGAATTTCAGCCAGCTCCCTGTTTACTGTCTGCCATTATTGGACACATTGATTAATTCAGGTGTGATTGACCTCATTAGTCACGGCAACAATAATCAGACACACCTGAATTAATTAATTTTGCCCAATAATGGCAGACAGGAAACAAGGAGCTGGCTGAAGTTCAGGTAGTAACGTTAGTGCAGCTGTGCATAAAGCCCATTAGAATTCCATTCGACCCATGGTGGTCATGTTCAAAAATTATCAGAAGTGTTTTATAACGCACTTAACTTATTTAACTTATTTAACTTTTGCCTATTTAGTGTTTTAGAACGCACTTTACTTATTTTACGCATGCCTTGGCATACGTAAAATAAGATAAGTGCGTTCTAAAACACTAAATTATTCTGCTAATGATGTACTATAACGTTACTTATTTGCGGTATTTTGAAGTGGCCACAAATCACGTTAAGAACCGCTTGTTCATTGCAGCGATATCGTACCGGTGTTATGCCGAATTCTGTGACCTAACGTTAGTGCTACCTAATTATGTGACCATATAGCTACAATGTAATGTAGTGATAAATTTAGGATTAGGATTAAGTTAGCTTAATACAGTTCAATTACTGCGGTCACTTTGGTGGGCCACAGAATTCGGCACAGCACAGGTCACACACTAATATACTGTACAACTTTAAGAAAACATATAATGAAATATACAATTACCGGCTTCTTCGTTATTCTCGTCGATCAGACGTTGAGGTCGAGCCCTTTTCCGTGGATTTTTCTTCTCCATCGCCATGCTTTCTTCCGAGCTGGAACTGTAAGTCATACGGTTCTCCAATCCTATTTGCGTGCAACGCCCATCTCGGCTAATGAATTCAATCATTTGGTGTGACTCGTCGAGTTCATTACTCCAAAGTGTAATGATAATAATGGCTGGGCTTATCCCAGTTCTTTTAACATCTTCCAACATTTTAATAACGTTTTTGTTTTTTATTCTGTCTTGCTTAAGCTGTGTACATGCCATGTTTGGTCCGCTAAATGGCTCTTAAATGAAACGTTTCTTTCCGGATCTTTTCAACCGGTTCGCAAATACTGATCCGGAATGGGCAAATGCATCCGCATCCAAATCCCTTTTAGGTATATGCTTTAGGATTTAGATAATTTTGTAATCGTCCTGGGATCACATGCACTTTCCCTGAAATTTCAAAAGTAGACAAGTAAAGCTTCTAAATGTTAAGTTATTAAAATACTATAACGAAAAACTCAATTGTCCAATGAGGGCATTGGTTTTTCAGATATTAAGTGGCTGGGTATTACGTAACTTTTCCAAATAAGGACAAAAAGGCGCCTACTGAACCGGATATTGTAGGTCTCCCTCCCCCTTTTATTTCATTTCCCCTTGCTGTAGTTTTGCTGGGTTGCAGGTTTTTGAACAGCAAAATAATGGCACTTGGAACAAAAGTTGTTTCACTTTGTGAGCAAACCAGCAGAAGAGGGACCAGACGATTAATTGAATGGCTACAAAAACATAGACTCATGAAGTCAAGGATGAATTGCAGACTGTGTAAAAAAAAAATGAAATTCCAGAAGACACAAACAGGAGATGGATACCAATGGTAACAATATTTATAATTTTTTTTTTTTAATTATAACTACAATTTACCATGCT